TCATGGAAGCAGGGTGAAGAATTAATTTTGTGATTCCAGGCTCAAACTGCTCAAGTCGTATCGGGTATGGAGGGCTTGTCGGAAGAGGAGCGCCTGAAGATCCAAGCGGTTATGGCATGTGCCGAGTTGGACGCAGCCAACACCGCTCTCGCCAGCGCTGGACCATCAGCAGCTGTCACCCCCCTCTCGTATGCTATTTCTTTTTGTTCCGTATCAAAGTTCTGTTCTTCAATACCTTTTTTTCAGCGACAAGCCGGCCACGGTGGATCCGTTCTCGAGGACGGCACGAGAACGTACCACCGGTCCTGCACAGGAGCCTCGCCTCAAGCAGGATAGGGAACCATCCCGGGCTGACTCTACTCCGTCGCGATCTCCTTCAAGCATCTCCATGCAGAGGTATGGGGAACGTTCATTCTTACAGATTTGGGCGCAGTTCGGCGACGGGGGGGGGGTATTTTGCACTTGCACACTGCTTCACACGGTTTACAGTACTCACTCTGGTGAAACCTGTGAACTCTTGTGAAGCTGGAGCAAGCTCGTCAAGCCATGGTAAAACCTGTCAACTCGAGAAGAGGCTGTCTAGATGGGTCGACACGTCGATGGGAAGTAGTGAAAGTGCAAAATGCCCCCCCCCGTTGCCGAACTGCCCCACATTTGTTTACTGACTGAGCGATGAATGTTTTAGCGATGTTTCTCTCCCACCTATGGATGGGCTAACAGATAAGGAACGAGCTCACATCGAGGCAGTGATGGCCAGTGCTGAACGCGACTCAATGATGTCGATGGAATCCCAACCACCCAGGTAATATCTTGGCCTTTCCCTTGGCACTAGCTTCTCTATGCGATAGTTTTAGTGAGATGATGATTCCTCCTGGGCTGGAAGACCTTTCCGAGGAAGAACGTCGACAAATCCTTGCCGTGATGGCAGCAGCTGGAGCCGATGCATTGGCACCACCGCAACCACAGATCCGCCGAAGTGGAAGCGCTACCGTTCTACGACCGTCACCATCCACATCTTCTTTGCGGGATCAACAACCTAAACGGCCGCATTCGGCCAGGGGTCAGGCGCCCAGGTACGCAAATTTTTCCGCCTTTACTACGTTCCAGTTCTCCCTAGCATATCTGGAGGGAGAGGTGTCATGTTACATAACCCAAGGCTTGTTTGTATTCTTGACAGCTTCGATCCCATGAATTATTAATCCAGTAGGACGTGTGAGATTTCATTGAGTGACCTTTAAATCATGCGATAGCGCGGAATATTAATGCACGGCAGGGGTTCAGAACGAAATGAAAGCAGTAGGGCATATGGGAGTAGAATCGATGGCGTGCAGGCCGCCGAGTATTCCGTCCACGAGGGCGGCAATAGGAGACGGATCCATTCGCAGGCTTCTCCAGAGACAAGCGCTCCATTTCATTAGTCATGAAGCCAATCGAGATAATATCACGCTGCTCTCAAAACTGGGAAGCTGCTGCGAAAGCGCCAACTTTGCCTAAGTGGGTCAGGGACCGGGACCAGCTAGTGAGCCTCCTCTTCTGTTTTGTGAGTTGGCTTGAATGGGAGGGGGTATAAAGGGACCAAATTTTTCAGCAGGAGACAATCAGTAGGATTCCGGTTGGGACATTCTTGAAGTAGTCAGACGGATTGGATCAGATCTGAAGATTTAAAGTACCCTACGGGAAGTATTGAACATTTTGTTAGCACTCTGTTGGGCGCAGTTTGGTGACGGGGAGGGGCATTTTGCATATTCGCTACTTCACTAGTTACCGGTTTACACGTCTCACTCTGTGGAACAGGTCAGCTCTCGTAAACTCATAAAATAGCCCATGGAATGAGTTTCATCATGAATTTACAAGATTTGACAGGTGGTCTCTACAAATTTTGGGATCATTTCACGACTTCACGAGATTTCACAGGTCCCCATCTGAGTCGACGGGAAGTAGCAAAAGGGCAAAATGCCTCCCCGCCCCTCGCCGAACTGCGCCCTTTGTTGTCACCTTATCGAGGGACAATCCCGTACCCTGCAGCAGGGCATCGACCCTGGAGAGTGGTAGGGCCCGGGGATGATGGGATCAGCCTTCGTCACATGTCGTCCTGTCCGTACGGTCTCCTCGTACATTTTCCCCATCCTATAGTCGGCCGCCCATCATCTGAAAGTAACACATGAATCAAAGCGTTAAGGAAGCTGGACCGATCATTTTCGAAAAGCACTTCCCCCCCCCTCCTACTGCCCTTGCAAACAGCGAGTGAAATAACACTTTGCTTGGTGGCTGGTTTAACTTAGTTCCAGCGCACTTCAAACTGTAGATTGATGAGCTCCCATCAGATGACAGCCTTGCAAGAATGCTTTAGGGCCGCGTCCGCCGCTTCTTTGTGCACCACCGAATTGCGCCATCAGAGCTTTTTTCGATGGTTCCCACGTTAGAATATTAACTGTATTTTGGTTTCTTTCAACATTTGCCTGAAATGGTCCCTTTACGTCACGCATTCTTACACAGGGGTAGGGGGAATGTAGCCTTAGCCTGGATCTAACCATGAGCACCTTTACTTCCTCCCTTCTATCAATCAAATCTTCCAAGACTGAGCTATGCAGTCAACAAGCAGACTTGTTCCATAAATTTGGGTGTTTTGAAGGGAAGCATCGGAATCCTAATGGTGAGCACTCAGGGATTCCAAAGCGCATCGGTACATTCCTTGAAACATGGGAGAGAAATTACCCCACGGTCGGAAATGTGGGATGAGAAGCGCGCAAGGCAAATGCAGAAAGAAAGCTTGCAGAGTGGCTACCATTAGACTCCTTCGGCTCGCGGAGTCGTTTGTACGCAGTGGTGCGCAGCACTGATCTTTATGCATAACCGCCTCCGCACTTCGCATCAAGGAAGGAGGTTTTAACCTAAGTTATTTGCACCTTTCGGCGGCCTTCTCCTTATAGTTCTCCGCCGCCAGAGGGTCAAGGGTCTCTTCTTGTGGTGAATAACCACTTTTCACCGGCATTGTTCTTTTCGCTGGCCTTAGGGGTTTTTCGATTTGGGTGGACCTGTTCTGCTAACGAAACCGGTTTTGCGGGGCAGCGGGTTTTGTTGTTGAGGGAACGGGAAGTATGATGACGTCCGGCGTCGTCGTCAGTCATTATTTCACGATTCTTCTGTTATTATCGATCGGTCAAAGCATAATTCACACATATTGCTTATTTCTTATAAATTTTCGATCAGACTGCTGTTATTTCAGCGACCAAGAAGAACTCCCAGGATTGGAAGGGTTGTCCGCAAGTGAACGAGAGAAAATCCTGGCTGTAATGGAGTCGGCAAGACGAGATGCCGAGGAATCTCGCCCACAAACCGCAGAACCAGAACCACTGCCACCTCCACCACCGTCTGCGTTCATCGCTGCTACACCCAAAGTTGCACCATCAATAGGTTTTTTTTATTCTGAATTTTTGTCCACTACTGTTGTTAATTCACCTCGAAAACAGAATTGCTTTCAGCCCGTCTATTCCACCAGGATTGGAAGAGCTGTCAGCTGAAGAACGGGAAAAGATCATGGCTGTAATGGCGAGTGCAGCGATGGAAGAACAGGCACCCGTTCCAGTTGCCTTGCCGCCTCCAGCGCCGGCTCGATTCGAACCCGAGCCACCTCCACAGCCGATACCGCAGCCACTCATGGTGCCGGAGCCAGAACCGATTTCGGAGCCAATACCAGAGCCAGTCGAAATTCCTGTGACACCTTCACCTCCCAAGATATCACCTGAACAGGAAAGACGCATGACTCGTACCTCATCTGGATTTGGGCTCAAAAATCTCGCTGAGACCGGCGCGGACTGGTTTGTGGTTTTCGCCTTGCTGTTACTTATAAGCGAGACTTACTTTAAAGTCGGCTACTTTCAGGAGGAAGCTATCGAGGATCGAATGGATCAAGATGTTCCGGTTGATTTTTGGAGGATGAACCCGTGAGCAGAGGAATGTCGATAAGCCAAGCTATCGAATCCTTCGGAGTGCTAGAAGAGACGGTCAAGGATTCCCTGACCAAAAAAGGTAACTAGCCGGGACACCCTTTCCACAATCGAAAACGGGCCTGAGATACATCATTGGTAAGCGAGGCAGCCCTGGCTGCGCTTCAATACCACCGCCCTGTGACCCGCGCACGCTTCCACAGGGTGCGTGACTGCAAATCACACGTGGAAACAGCGAGAACCGCTGCTGCTCTTACCTGTCAATTGGCGCGAAACGTTCGGTTTTATTTCAGAGACCACGCTAGAGTGGAGGCCTGCTGCCAAACAGTGACGTATGTTTTCAATGTGGGGGAGCGATCCCGTGGGGGAGTGTTGTCTGTCCAGAGGGGCCAGAATTCAAACGTGTGTGTGGCTTTTGACGGAACGGTATACAAGAAAAAATGTGAGGGGCTCATAAGAAATAGGAAAAGCTGTTCAATAAAGGGGCATATTCGTCTGGGGCGGGCTGGCTCTGACATTGCACATTAGTGCTCGGCTGGTTATAATGGCACAAACTGAGAGTAGACAAAGCCGTGAAATAAAATATCAGGAATCGCGAGTAGAAAAAGAATAAAAAAAAAGTGGGTGGGGCTGCGCTCGGCAATCGCTATGGTGGCGATTATCCTGAGAAAAAAACAACTGCGGACCTTATGCTTCGGTTATTTCTCCATTTTTGATTTTATAAGTCGCCAATAATTTCCCTCCTTCTCCAATCACTCATGAGATATGCTTCCTTTGTAACCGAAGACGTGATCTGACAACATTAGAACGTGAAAGTAAAGCCAAATCAATTGAATAGATAATCGCATCAAGACAAATGTGTGACGCACCATGTGTGTCACGTGTTAACAGAGCGTTTCGTGCCAGATTCCACTGAAAATTCACAGAGTTGTCATTCAGTAACGCCGCCGAGGATCGCTGAAGAAGGCGTGGACAACTCGCACCGAAGACGATTATCCTGGCGTTGATCTGTTCACTCTTTTCACCCGTCTGAGGCGGCGGAGCAGATTCGTGCTGTCATGAGGATGGCCCAGATGGACGATCCGGGAAGACGAGAAGGTGCTTATCGTTTTAAAGACACCCTCCCTGATAGTCTGATGAGCGGAGACTTTACTATTCTGACTTCTTCATCAGTGCCCCTCTTAACACTGTTAAGTGAAGATTGCATGATGAGGAACGCGTAATGGTTATAAGTCTCCGCCCATCTTGTCATCGCGGAAAGTTTCGTTTTCATCGTTTTCATTTAGCATGGCCAATTTCAGCCTCACAACGAGCTCAGTACGATAAGATAGACACCACCACCAAGCCGGATGCGCCCACTGCTGAGAAGAAACCTCGCCAAACGTCTATGACGTCATCTTCAGAAGTTTGCTCTCCTACACGAGAGTCAGGATACGGTACCACCTCGACGTCATACGATCGTGAGCTGGGTGATTTCGCCACAAAGGTGAGCACACAATGTTTTAAGCCACCTAGCGTTTTTACCAAAGCGAATTTCAGACTGAGCGAATGTACGATGTTTTGGAAGATGCTGGTGAAGTGAGAGAAGGAGCCCACTCGAGGAACGATTCCCGAGCCGAGGACAGGCAAGAGGACTTCGACTTCACCTATTCAGATAATCGATTCTCTGCATTGACCGATGAGAGCTTCGATACTGACAGGTCGTTTCTTTCAGCACGGTTCCTGGTCGCCCAGAAGGATTACCAGTTATTTGCAGGTACAGGGTAAGTCTACATGACGATTCTAGTATGAACGTGGACGCTGTGGAGATGGACGAAGACGATTTGTACAAGCAGCAGGTGGGTAATTCATCTCATCTCTAGAGAAACGAGCCATTGGTCCCTCCTCCCTAACGGTCCACAGCTCCCATATCCCCCTGGACAGAAAGACCGAAAAGAGAGACGGTGTGACCAGAGAGGAAAAGGAACCAGGATGAAGAAGCTAGAGAATAAGAGCCTAGTTGTGGAGATAACTCGGTTTTGAAGGAGAAGGTAAGGAGGAGGACATGACTAGCATAGCGCTCGTGAAGAGGAACTGCATCTTTGGGACCTAAGAAGACAAGAAGAGATGACATCTCCCCTCTCCCACCCACAATGGATTCCCCTCCAATTTTCTCTTTTTCTCCATTTCTGTCCTTATGCTCAGGGAAGCTGGAACCTTTCTGTGCTCTGAACCTCATCAAACTTTTCCGTCGTTTCCATAATTTCACTCAAAAATCCCGTAGAAGATCTCAGGACTTCCAAGTGCTTGTGGGTGCTGAGAGTAAAAATTGCAGAGATCCGACTGGACCGCAGGGCGACCACGAATGTGGACGACGGTCTTCGAAGGTGATGAGTCCGAGCAACCGGCTGACGACGTTTTCATTCGGCAATCACCCACAGGTTAGTGTTCAACGTTAGCTGGGAATCATTTAAATTTTCTGTGGCAATCATTTCTCTTAGCGGCGTAGTCTACGCTGAACTTGTGGCCGGGGACTCATAACTAAAGTGATTTCGTCTATCCTTCCCCGAAGGCAGTGG